GTAATAGGATTTTTACACAAGTTTTTAATCGTTTGTAACTGTTACTGTAGCTGTAACTTTGGAGATTGATGTTGTCTATTGCTAATGACAACATCATGTTATCTATTGCTAACTTGCTAATTGATGTTGCAGAATTATTAATAAATCTATCTATCTAATAAATGAGAAGTGTTATTTACATAATTAATATGATTTATAAAGTAATGATTTACAACTAAAGTTATTTAAACTTTTGTGATTTATCTGTTTTATATTTTTTTCCTTTTTTATACGTGTTATACTTGTTAGTGTGTTTGTAAATATATTTTTTCTTTGTGTAGAATTAGCTGATGCTGTTTAAGGAACCTGAAAAATAAAAATATTGTATCTGCTTTGTTTTCTCTTGTACATTTTATTTCTTAATGATTTAAGAGAATTTTTTTAATTTTTTTCTCTACTTTTTGAAAGAATTGACGAAACTGTATGTTTTTACTTCAATCAAAACTACAACAAATTGATATTATTGAAAATTCTTCTTTTAAATTCATCCCAATTGTATATTATAGTGGATGAACTAGAATAGTAAAGGTTCTCTGAAAACGTAGGAATGAGAATTTAATTATTTGAGAAAAATAATTGTTTATAAATTTATTCTGGACATTTCATTTCATATGACTGAATTTTTTGTGACACCACTATTCTTGTTCACTTGAGGAAAACATGGGTTACAATCTGCAATAATAATGATATTATATTTTATAGTCTATGATTTATGTATATTTGACATGCATGAAAATGCTGAAAATTCCCAAAGCGCGAAAAAGCATATAAAGTTCACTCACTAAGGGCTTGACAGTTGACACTCGCTTCGAAAATAATTATTTACTGAGAAACTAAGAAACGTACCAAATATGGTTCGAAGCTATAAAATATACTAAAACAGAGTATACGACCCAATAAAAATTGAAAAATACGAAATTTTACGATTTTCATTATTTTGAGGTAGCTGTCATAAGGTAGAATGCATATAACCTTGGTTGGGAGGTTCTAACCTAAAGGAAAACATTTCAGAAAACGGAGGTAACTTCTTTAAATTCGTTTATATATAGATATACATCTTCTCAGGGAAATTCGTAGTATCATTGTTCACAATGAGGTATTTTCTAAACTCTCATAAGAGGAATAAATGATTTATAAAGGATAGTGATACAAGTGTGTGATGTTAGTCACGACCTGAAAGTTTACAATTTGGGTTTCCCTTGAATGTTTAAAATTTGGGTTACCATTGAAATGCACATGAAAACCACATTGAGTCCAAAATTGTTACATATACAATTGTTTGAATGATACAAGGAAACTCGTTTATTTTAGGGCACATTCTATGAAATTCAGTTGTGATACTTTGTTAGAATGAATCACATCAAACTTATATTCCAATTTATTCTTGTACACGAAAGGTAATATTGAATTTTCCAGGTTCATGTAATCTTTCGTTTTCTCTTGGCCTAAAAATGTACCTTGTTTCCTTTCTAATATAAGTAATTTGCTTGCAATCATCAGCATCAAAAAGTTAATCCATAAACAAGAATAACCAGAATTCACTTTTTTCTCTGAAGAGATTCGCCGTTTTTTTCGCTGTTCTGTTACTGTGTGATACATTGGCTTTTGTCCTCTCTAAAACCTTCAAAAATCGTTTCTTCTGCATATCTGTTTCTACACAATCACATAGTGAATAGATCATCAAAATGGAAAGTAATATTTATTTCATAAATGGCATTTAATGAATTAGCTAAAATTTGTTTTTTATAAAGTCTAAATAAGTCTGTGACAAGTTGTTCCATTTCTGATGTTAAGATACTTTAGATTGTGTACTAACATCCTAAAAAAATTTATGCTGAATATCTATTTCTATACAATTAGATTGTGTAGAGATAATCAAAAAGCAATTTGAGATTTATTTTAACACAGGCATTTAAATAATTAGATACAATTTCTACTGAATACATTTAAAAGACCACATAATACTTTAACAGGTATTGTCTTTCAGATTCCGAGATAATGACTCCCATTTGGATTAGGTTTTTGTCGTCTCGTTGATCAATTGAGTAAGAACTGAGATGACTTCTTACTTCTTTTACTTGCTGTAGTATGCTGTGCTGTTTGCTATAGTATAGGATGGTAAAGTGCCTCTAATTCGCCTCTAATTCGAATCGAATTTTCGGTCGGAAAACCTGTATTTAAGTTATTTTTGAGTTGCAGCTGCGTGCACGCGTCCCGAGTTACTTCAGGCTCAAAGACGATTATGATTAAGATTATGATTGATGCAGGGAGAGAGGAGATATATGCAATTTTCTATCCTAAATTCGAAATGTTTATATGGATAGACTCGTGCATTAGACATAATGCGTCAGGAGTCGTAAATGCGCCAGGAGTGCCGTTCCGGATGGTATTAAAATTTTAAACTATTTGATTTTAAACTAAGTGATTTCTACTCGTTGAGATCAATGTTTGAGGTTCGAGGTTATTAAATAATAGAGGATGAAATGCCTGAATTGCGTATGAAGGTAATTTGGGGAACTGTAGTGTAATAAACTAACAAAGACTAATAAATCTTTTGAGAGATGTAGACTAATGAACTGATAGAACATTTTATCCGTATATTTAAATAATTGGATGGAACCTACTTCTTAAAATCAAAGAAGAAATCATTTGAGTGTTTCCAAAATTTTTCATAAACAAATCATTTAAAATGTCTCAAATCAGCACTATTTATTGTGACCTTATGAAACAAAAATTAAATTTTGTCATAAGCCTCACAGATTTATTGCATTAAAGGTTTTTGATCCATTGATTGAAAATTAAAACCAGTCATGAATATATACTGAATGGTTTAACACAGAGTTCCAATTTTGCATAACACAATTGTAAAATTGTGATATTACAATAGTGTTATTAGTTTGTGCAAAATTCCATATTAATAGGTTATGAATTGCCAATTTTATAATTTTCAGAAATGCATTGCCATAAATAACGATCTGCGGGCATCTGTTATTTCATTGCTGAGAACACAATAATATATCTTTAACACAATACACCATGGAATGTAAATCCTAGGGCTTTCACGTACAAATGACTCGAAAAGAACGCAATCATTCTATGTCACGAGCACAAGTAATTAAGCATAGGGCATTCTTTTGACTTACCACCCACCGCATTCCACTTTTTTTTTCATTTTTACATCTGACAGGTCCATTGTACCGACTTTTGTTCTGGGCAATAAACTTCGTTTTATGAACAAAAGGGGAAGCCTTTCAAATAGATGGCCAATTAACACGAGTACACTAGGCGGTATTGATCTCTGGCAGATATTGAAACTACAGAAGGTCGGCATTCATTTGATCTATACAGATTACTTCTCGCGAAAAAATTGTCCATGAGAATGCAGGTGCAATTTAGGGGAAATCCGAGACGATTCTAATAATTGAAGGAAATAAAGCTATTCAATGGTTGAGTTAGAATTTAAACTGCGAGTAATTTTGTATTAATTGAAGTTCATAGTGATTTTTTTTAATTAAACCCACGAATTTTACATTGTTCTCTAGTTGAATGAGGTTAAAGAAAGTATATTTATTGGCCAGCTCAAAAGTATCGCAAATATTCAAAAAAGCTTAAACTGTTGGATAAATTTTTTAGTGGCGTATTAATGTTAACTAAGCGTCGTATCTCCAACGGATACTTTCACGTTAAAAATTTTGAAATTGTGCTATAAATTTCGTAATAAAAAGAAATTTTAAACACAGAATCAGACTCGCATATCTTTCAAAAGAGGCAGTAACATTAAAAAAAGTGTTTGTAGAAAAAGTTTAACTATCGTCCAACCTGTGAATAATTTCCTAAGTCCTTCGGAAAGATAGCTTTTCACCACTCTTAATACCTTGAATTTCTTTTTTAATGATTGCAGAATATTAAGGAATTGATCACTTCTCGTTCACGTCATCATACGGCCTATAACACCACCGCAATCTTGGCTATCCGGAATGAGCCGCGTCTCGGTCAGTTGTACTGACGTTTCGGCCATCTTGCTGTGACCTTCTTCAGAGCTATACTGCTGCCAATAGGTTGGCGTGTCTCATCTTCTAGGAAAGGCGCGTGGGCCGAATGGGTGCATCGGCGGCCCCGGAGAGTTCGATAATATGTTCTGTGTGTAGCTTTAACAATTTCCATTGTAATGATTTTCAGATACACAGAGACCATTATTTACAATTGTTTTTTGCAATTTAAAAGGTTGCAAATATCACTCTGATCCGTGAACTTGTTTCCCAAAGACGCTCTTGTAAGGAAAGGTGACTGCTGAAGGTGTAGCTCATTGTGTAACACGTTTGTTTGCTAAATGTGACGCGTTGTGATTATGTCTACTTGTATCACAAATTTAAATTATAGTACAATAAGTTCATTATACATAAGTATATTTCATTATACATAATTATACATAGTTCATATTCACTAAATATTCATCTCACCTTATAAGACATCATTTTTCTCTAATGTAATTTTTTCAAAGTATTACTACCTTTTATACATATTGTCTTTGGTCAATACGATTTGCACTCATCATAATTAACGTTTATTATTTAAAGGGCACTGAAATTAATTTGCATTATTTTTTTTTGTTATTCATACTTGTAAAAAAAATTTACTATACTTTCATAAATTCAAATTATTTGCTGCTGTGCATTACCTGCCTGTTCAGCACATTTATTTCATTTGTGAGAATTTATAATTCATTGAGTTGCGTAGCAATTGTGCGGCTTCGACCAATATCGATTTGCTCCACCTGTACCTGATGGGAGGTGGTTATGGGACGTACCCATGCTAGGGTGTTATTTTGGCTCTAGTGTGCCGTGTACCTAAATGCAATTCACTATCATTACGATAGCTTCCGTCTCTTACGTGCTCATTTAGCATATTTCCCTTTCTTATGCCTTTGGAAATTTGCTCACTCTGGGTTTCATTTGTTTCAGATGTTCCTGTGTTCCTGCACCAACGTGTTTTATTTATTCCAGTCGCCTCTGCAGTAATGAAGTCTCTACACATTCATTTTTTATTCCAGCCGCATAGGGCTTGGAATTCAATGTAATATTGTCTGTAATAATGTAATATTCAGAGACAATGATACACCCAATTATGTTTTAATTTATCACTAATAGTTCAATCATTTTCACGTCCTTTATCATACTTAAAATTTTATTAATAAATAATTAGCAATTACTGTAATTATCTGTTTTATTTATAATATCATTTGTTTGTCTGTTGAATCTCTCTAAGGTTTGATTGTTATTAGTGGTATTTTTATTTAAAAACTTGAAGCATCTTTAATTAAATTAAATTTAATCAATTGTCTTATAATTTAATATCTTGTTTGATAATTCTTTCAATTGTTCATTAATTAATGATGTTTACACAGGTTATGTCTTTGAAAACATTATAAACCACCTAATGTAAAGATACATTGTAACATTGTATGATTTTGTTCTACTTTGTAATAACATTTTTCACTGTATTGATATTTTTTAAATTGAGCTATGTCTTCCTTGCCTCTAGAATTTCTGTGCCTTAGTATGTCTTTTATTTGAAGAATGTTTTGTATTCTATGACTTTGCATAATGATTCTTTGTGATGTTAATTATTCCTTGACTTGCATAGAACTCCTATAAGTTTATTTACTTATTTATATGGGTATGCTTCCAAGTAAACCAGTGTCGAAAAACTCGGGTGGGAAACAATGACAAAAGGGCAGTCTCCCCGCAAATAGTCCCAAGCGATAAATAAATAATATCCAGAAGTGCCATTTGTTTGTGACATTAATATTGTAAATTTAATGTAAACAGATTAGGAGCTCCCAGAGAACGCAGGTGTTCTCTGTGGATCTCGGTGCTTGATTTCCCCAAAAGTGGCCTGGGCTGGAAGCAACGTGGCATGCCGTTCGGGAGTTAGATTTCCGTGCATGCTCAACGTGTTCATAGCTCCGTACACACGCTGCCTTGAGTTGGTTACGAGCGGCTGTGCTGTTTGAGTGGGCGTGGCTCACATTGTTATTGCGACCAAGGTCGCTTTAATTGCACTGGCGGCATAGGGTCGCATTGTTGGAGGCTCTCACTAAGGCATTGAGCAGTAGGCTTGGGTGAAGCGTTGCTTCGTGCACGCATTCAGAGCGAACTATTTGTTGCGAAAATGTTTGGTATGTAAGTAATTGTTGAACTGAATGTATATTGTATTCTTGTTTAATGAGGACCAATGAACGATGTTACTTTCACCTTATTGTTTAGTGATCTTGTATTCTTGTTTTCATGTTAAATGTCTCAAGTTAAAATTATTGTATTTCTGCGTAGTATATTAATTTTGTGTTATTCTGCTTAAAGACAACTGTCTAATGTAGAAGTTTTGTCATTCTTGTCATAATTGCATGTGTGTAAGATGCTTTTGCATGTACCCTGTCCTAAAATGGACATTCTGTGTTATTATAAAGTACTTTATTACTGTTCCTACACATGTTTGTAAATCATCTGTATTGTTGCTGATAAAATTGTAAAGTATTTTAACATAGAGGTACTCTTTTTGCCTGTCAACCTTTGCCCTATTTCCTAGTTATTCTGTGTTAAGGAGATGTCCGATGCTCCTTCCTTTCTTTGAAATATTTGTAGCAAATTGTTATCATACTCTTTAAACCTGGTGTTTTGGAATTTTAGTTTACTATGTGTAAGAGTTCCCAATGAGTATATAGTCACCATACCTCTTTTCCTCCTTCGTTTACATAGGTTTTAGTTTACATGCTTAAGATATTTGTCTTGCTCTCTACTCTCCATTAGGAACCATGCGTTGTGGCTCACCTTGATTCTTTTTGATTAAAATTTCCTAGATTGTTCACTCAGTTGTTGAAGGAAATTAAGGATAGGATATTGATAGATGTAATTAAGCATATAACTGGCGACCGTAAAATTGTTATTTATTTTAAATGAGGCGACCGCAACAGGTACCAAACTTAAAATTAAACACTATTGTAAGTTTTATCTTAAATACATTTCATTTGAATCTTCAAATTATAATTATTATTATTATTATTATTATTATTATTATTATTATTATTATTATTATTATTATTATTACGGTTGTTGCTCTGATAATAGGTTGAAGATTGTTCTAAGTATATAATCAGTTTAAATTTCTTTACTTACTTTGTTTTTAAATTTAATAAATTCAAATTCGAATTAAAAAATATTATTATTAAAATTAGTATTTTGCAAATATAGTACTCTATATATTTATTGTCAGTCACATTACTTTGTGTATGAAACTGGAAAATCTGGTAAAATATTTATTAATTATAATATCATATTAAATAAATATGCTAGTTCATTGTCCTTGATAATAGCTATACATAGCATAAATTAATTTCTTGTATGTATTATTTTGCCTTTTTCTGAATAAATAAACAGTTTTTTTATTTTTAAAATATATTATTTTCCTATCTTGTGCTTTCTAGCCATATGAATTTCTTTTGCCATGAAACAAGTTTTCCTTTCCTTCATTGTTCCTTGTACGTTTAGTTTTTCAGATAGAAGATCTATGAAATTCTAAAAGTAAAGTTAATCAATATGTCGAAATACGATGTCAAGAATCCTCAAAACATGGATACGTCACAATATTGTTTCATTGCATTATAATGGTTTGTCATAATTTACTGTACAAATACATTGTATATCTCAGCTAAGAAGAAAAAAATTAACTTCATAAGAGTATGAAGAATTGAAACATTTCGTATATTTAAATATTATTTGTTTTAATTTCACGAGTGGAATAGTCCTTTTCATAAACGGATTTATGAGCACTGGTTTATTTCAAGACCGCCGCGGAGTGTCAGCAAAACATTGTTGAACACGCACGGCCAGCAGCTCCCGACGGAAAGAACGGAAATAGATTGAAATATTCCAGTAAGTAAGTAAATAAATAAATAAGTAAATAAAGAAACAAACAAACAAACAAACAATTTTAACGCATTATGTAACCAAAACTTTTGATTTTGAATTATCGAATTAGAAATCGTAAATATTTCTTGAATAGATGTTACCAACTAGTTTCGAGTTACATAATATATATTATTTATTCTTGTAATAAAGGACAATATAGAAAAGTTACATTAACGAAAGCCACACAAAATATAAAAAATGAATGAAACAATATTATTTATCATATCTTATAGAAATAAATGTTAAAATATTAAATAGATGTATGGTAAAGCGTCATGCCATGAAGTAGTACACAATGAAAATTATAGAAATTATCTACCTGCCAACACTCAAACACCTAAAGAAAAATAATGATTTTAAATTACAAAGAAAAATAAATAACCGGTCCGGATGGCCGATATCGCTAAAGCAGTAGCGCCGTAGCAATCTCGGACCGAAGAGTTGCGGGTTGGAGTACTACCTCGGGCATGGTTGTATTGTGTCCGTCCTTTCACACACCTATCGTCATCTTATCGTGACAAACTCGCAGGTACCATGCCGTTACACGCAGTAGTGGTCGATAATGACCTAGTAGTTGATTCCACCTTAAAATAACAAATATGTATTAATATATATTAATTTTTAGGAAGATGTGTAAAGTGAGTTCGTTAAGTCACGATGACGCGAGCGAGCCGCGTGTCGGGGTTCACAAGACTTTTCACAAACCCGTCCGCAACCATCTTTCGCCATACTCTGCCTTGTAACCGAACAGGTTGAGGATGTTTTTCGTAGGCGACTAGTCTGCGAATTTCCATATTTTGACATCTTTTTAGGACGTTGTTAACTGAATAAGATGACAACGGCACATTAAATGATAATATTAAATTGAGATAATTATTTTAAAGATGTGTAATGCCGATCTGGATGGCATGGATCGTTATAGCAGTACTACAGTAGCGATCTCGAACCGAAGGCAAGCGTGTTCGAGTCCTACCTCGCCCATGGTCGTATGTGTGTTCGACCTTTCACCCCCTATCATCACCAATTTATATCATCAGATGTACCATGGTGTTAAATTCTATAGTGGTCGCTTATGACCTATATGTTGGCGCGACCTTAAATAACAAAAAAAGTTGTGTAATATAGTAATTAAAGACACGATGGCGTGAACGAGCAGCGGAACTGAGAGGCGTAAAAAAATATCGACACCAATTAATACGCCCGCACCCATTTCTCGACATACCCTCTGCACCAGTCTCAATTGTATTCTTGAAATGTCTCTAAAAATAAGGAGCGCCTTTCGTAAAATAATAATGAATAGGTTTTGACGCAATGTTCCAAAACTCACTACATGAAACAATGCAAAACTAATCAAAACGTAACATAAGTCCATTTACTTCTTCATGACAGTTCGCTTCAGGTGATTTCGTTTCATTTCCATATTTCCTGTATTATTTCGTTACTTATCACTTCCTATCATTTGTTAAATTTTAACTTCTTGCCTCCTCAATTTTTAGTTGTTGCTTCCCAACGACTCTATTCACATGCATTGATATCGTATCAATTCCTATCATTTAATTTCTTATGTACCATCTAGCCTTTTTTGCATCCGTCCTTTCGTACCCGTAATTTTGTTTCCGTTTATTCGACTCCTTCATTTCCTCTTCAACAGTTCGTCTTCGTGTTCTCGTCTTCGTCTTTTCGACATCGTCTTTTCGTCCTCCTCTTTTCGTCTCCGTGTTTTCGTCTTCGTGTTTTCGTCTTCGTCTTCTCGTCCTCGTCTCTTCGTCTTTTCGTCATTTTGTCATCGTCTTTAAGTCGTATTCTTTTCGTCTTCGTCTTTTCGTATCTGTCTTTTCGTCTTCGTTTTTTCGTCATTGGCTTTTCGTTTTTTCGTCTTCATCTTTTCGTTTTCCTTTTTTCGTTTTCGAATTTCGTCTTCGTCTTTTCGACTTTGTTTTTTCGTCATCGTTCGTCTTCTTCTTTTCGTCATCGTGTATTCATGCTTGTCTTTTCATCTCCGTCTTTGTCTATTCGTCTTCGTTTTTACGTCCTCATTTTTTTGTCTTCGTCTTTTCGTCTTCGTGTTTTCGTCATTGTTTTTCGTGTTTTCACCATTTTCGGTTTCGTTTTTCGTTTTTCGTTTTTCGTTTTTCGTTTTTCGTTTTTCGTTTTTCGTTTTTCGTTTTTGATTCGTT